CCCACACCCACACCCACACCCACACCCACACCCACACCCCAACAAATATTTAACCTGTTTAAAGACCTTGTCAAATCTATTTCTCTGACATGTTTTCTGTCTTCTAATGATTGTACACTTTTCTTAAACAGAATTTCTTTAGCTATTTATCTAATATTTGACCTAAATCTTGCGAATATTCTGCAATGTGATACCAATTTTGCTTCAGGATGTGGATGTGGATGAAGAGAAAATCAACACCTACACTCACACTGACTCTTATTGCAAAGTTTGTGGTTTTTCAATATATTCTATTAACTCAACACAAAATTGTAAAAATATAAAAAAAGGAAAAAGTTCAATATTGATTGTACTCGAAATTCTAGCAGCCTTCATACTACTGCTCGACGAAATAATTAGATTCAATGTAACGTTATCTTCCATTATCTTAGCACCATATACATAATTTAGCTCATGCATTCAGCTCATTATTCTATTTCGAAGTGATTTTCAAAACAAATTAAGCCAAAGAATTGTACCAAAAGTTGCGTGAGAAGAAAATACTCATGATAAGTATTTACATGTCTAGAAATGTTTGACAACCCAACTCTACTCAGATTTACCCAATTTTGGCGTACATCCACCTTGCCCTTTAACTCTACATCTTTCGTGGATGATAACGTAGAATACTTAACAAAATTTTATTTTAAGATTAATCTTGGTTATCAGTATAGTCGTAGGTGCAACCTATGAATGGAACACTCTTATTTCTTCAAATTAGTTTTTATAGAGTCACTTCAACAGTTTAATGGTAATTACATCTCAGCACAAAATAATTATTTGATGCTATGATTTATTTCACACATTCTGTTCAGTTTATCAGTCAATCGTTGAACTAAAAGAAATCCAAAAAGACAATATTAATTTGCTGCTAAATCGTTTTTCTTTAGACTCATCTTAACTCAACCACTAGGTACTGACTTTAAGAGAATATATAAAATAAATCTAACAAACAGCATCAACCCAATCTTCACGATGCACTTATCAATAAATTCTTGAATTTAGAGTCATCTAAACGAAAAAGACGCCCACTGTAAAATGAATTTCGGGTGGGTGTGAGTGTGGGTGTAGATGTGGATGAAAGGAATATTACCACACACATCCACATCTACATCCTCACACCCACACACCCACCCACACCCTCACACCCACGCCCACACCCACACCCACAAGGAAAATTTCTTGTAGTTATTGGCGTTTCTTTTTTTAATTGTAGACACCACCAGCAGAATATATCAGAAAATGTACAAATTCAAAATATCTACTGGTTACATTAGTGGTCATCTTCATTATATATGTGTTCATGATCTTAATATGTGGTAGTTTTATTCAATATCCTGATTCTCAACAAGTCCTGGATAAATTATTACAAGAGAATCTCAATAAAGTCGGAAACTTGCTCATCAAACTTTCCAGAGATGAATATAATTGTTTCCATTGTTTGTCGAGTCATTCATCTTTCAAAGAAGTCAAAGATATGGGCAAAAAAGTGCAATATCAAGTTGCAAAAGAAACTGCATATAAAAAAACGAGAAATGTATACAATATTCTTGCATTTTTGAACATTATAATGGTTTTCATGATTTTCGGTAGGCCTTTGTTGATCAGCATCACCTCTACAATTAACTCTTTATTTATATGTTTATCTATGTTTTTGACTGATTCAATCATGATTTTTCTTGAAGGCTTTATCGTTATAACATCAGCAGTCATATTCTTAAAGGTGTTCATAGTCATGACTATGGCGATTAATAACTCTGATCGTCGTAAACGACAATAAACAATTTTTGAGAATATAAAAAGACTGTTTTTTTTTCTTTTAAAAAATAAAAACGTTGAAAATTTATACTTCATTTTATTTTACTTTTAGATAAAATTCTTCTTGCTTGATGTCGTCTTACTCTGATGCATTACCAAGAAATACACGGAGTACAATTAATTTTGGTAAATAATAGATAATTATTTTAAATTAAAATGATGAATTCTTGGTTCTTATTCTAGAAAGCAAATTAAAAAGAAAATGGTTTGGTCAAATGGTATGTATTTCTTCAGGAGAGAAGAAATTCTATTAATTGTTTATTTATTTGCAGCAAATACTACCTCTCGATTTTTTGATGAACCAAAATTATGACATGATATTATTCATTGGTTTTATCTTAATTATTTTTTATTGTGGAATATTTTTGAATGTTTATCCTATGATGATAGATATTCATTCTAAACATGAAGATTTTCGTGAACAATTACAAATTGAAACAGAACAAATGAATCGATTAAAAAATGATTTATTACACCTAAAACATTATTATAGAGATGATGTTAACAATGATGATATAATTTGTCAAAAATGTATGTTACCTGTCTTTGATATAGATTCTCATTATATTATAAATCATCTTTTGAAAAATAATCTACCCATTAAAAAATTGTACAATGATACTTTATTACCATTACAACATGTGTTAATTCTTATGTGTTTGTTGAATACAATATGTATGACGATGATTTTCGAAAAACCAATTAAACTTTTTCTTATATCAAGTTTATTTGGAATAATATGTTTATTTATTCATGGAGAATTTTTTATTGAAGATAAACCAAACGTTTATTATACATTAATCGCTGCTATTGGCGTATTTTTATTTTCTGTTTTTTTGTTAATCAAAATACTTCTAACATTATTAAATATCATCTATTATCATACAATGAAAAACATTTTAAGAAGTGAATAATAACGTTCACTCTCATGAACGATGTTCATTGGAAAAAGATAAGAATTAATAATTATGTAAAAAATTCCTGATTTGATTTTTCATTCAGATTTGCTGGTCAATTTCACCGATAGACTCATTAATCTCTGTCTATTATTCTGTGTATTCGAATATTTAACACTTAAACATAAATAAAATAAAATATGTTTTGAATATTTTGATGTAAATATCTGTACTTGTTTTCCGCTTTTTTGTTTTGCAATAAATATATACAATAATATTTTGTAAACTTAATTCAATATTATTAATTTCCTGTTTTAGTAGACTAACACATTTACATTTAATCTTTATTAAAAGTTAATATTTTGAATGCATATCGAGATTATTAATATGTATTCTTAGATAATAAGAAAGAATTTAAGAGCTTTTGAGCATTACAAATAAAGACAGATTTAAGAAAAAAAGTGGTTACAACATCGGTTGCCGTCAACAATATCAATCATGAGAATTTCGATTGCATTCGATTCTGATTCGTTAGTTACGAGAAAAATTCTCTTTCTCGTAGAGAAGAGTCTTGCAAACATAAATTGTCTGATTGCTTGTGTGTCCGCAGAGGGTCAAAAGAACATAAGGGTTCACTGAAGGATAATCAGAGGTTATTTTTGGTCGGGATTTCGACTAATAAGGTTTTCCGACATTGCGGTTTGAACCAATAGGATTTTAGGGGGGGGGGGCAATTCAACCAATCAGATTTTTTTGGCCCGTAATTCGATCTAGGAAGGTTATTTTTGGTCGGGGTTTCGACTAATAAGGTTTTTTGATATTGCGGTTTCAACCCATAGGATTTCGGGGGGGGGGGGGCAATTCACCCAGTCCGAGTTTTTGGCCCGTAATTCGATCTAGGAAGGTTATTTTTGGTCGGGATTTCGACTAATAAGGTTTTTTGACATTGCGGTTTCAACCAATAGGATTTCAGGTGGGGGGGGGAGCAATTCAACCAATCAGATTTTTCTGGCCCGTAATTCGATCTAGGAAGGTTATTTTTTTTATAAAAAAAAGTTGGTCACAGATATTCGAGGTAAAAGCCAGAATCTATCATCGATGATGAGATTTAGGTGGCAAGAGTAACGGATAATAAAATTTACTAATCTCATCATAGTGTTGGAAAAAAATCAGCCCAACTTTCTGCTCCGAACGCTAAACTCAAACGTGTAGATAGATGCACTTGGCAGAATAATGCAGTGTGAATGTGCTGATTTCGAATCGTGGAACCACGTAAATAAATAAATTGTTAACAGTTTAGAAACAGCACTTCTACGAGAAAGAGCTAAGCGAGTCTACAGACGAGCGTTACTTGTATATATATTTATAGAATAATGCTGTGATATTCTCTCTATGAAAGAAAAAGCTTCTATTTGTAGGCGACTTCTTTTCGTCGCGCCTTATCCTGTTCTGTCATAATTCTCATTGCGTATTTCGGCTTGTCCACGTAACGCAACACTTCGCTGATCAAGTTTCGAAAAATTGTTTTTTCGAGTTGGATAGATCTGAATATGTTACTAATGCCGGCTCCAGAAATAGATGGAGAAAACTCTAAGGACAATATCTCGCGAACGGATACAGCTAGCGATCTCGGCTTTTCAGCATTAGAAAGAGTGTGCTTGCGGGGTCAGACACATATTATATTCGCTAGATTGGCGAATGATCAAGGCTTTTAACTACCGTCAAAGATTTTGTGCTCTACCGAACAAAAACGTTTTCAAATAGAATTTCAATTCCACAGTGATCATTCGATAGCGCAAAGTCAGCTCTTTCAATCTACGAAAACTCGAACTTTTTATCATGTACCATTCAAAAGTTACTCTTGCTACATTGGAAGTATATAACGCATCAAAAATATGATTTTTTCGAGGGAGAAGATTTTGTTCATTGTTTATGAATGACAGCTTTCGACAATTATGAGTCGCGTAACAACAAGCAGTTTGTCATTCAGGCATAATTGACTTCAATCACTACTACGTTTTATCGTTTTCTTCCAAATCTGATACAAATGACACTGTTCACCACACATCGTCTCTTCTATTTGTCAGTGCTTGGATTGACGAAAATTTATTGTTCAACGAATCAAGCAACAACGTACTCAAATCTCCGTGCTATCATCGCTAGCATCGGAAAGAATATCAATCTCGATGTCCGATACGTCGTCGATTAATTGTGGTTCAACAATATTTTCTACAAAATTATCTGCTGTTTTGTACGTCATTTCAACTTTTTCAGCATGGCGAATGGCATCTTGTGCAGCGTTGTCATCAAAACCGGCGCCAAATTCGGCGGCTAATTCATAAACGCTGCTCTTTGTAAATTTGGTATTGTTTTTGCGAATATAATCTTTTAATACAGCCCAGGCGAGTTCAATGGGATTTAATGAACAATGTCGCACTGGGAGCCGCACGATTTGTACGTCGAATTCTTGTGCAACTTCGTCGATCTAATGAATATAGATTGAAAACATGTAAATATTATGAAACAGCTTATACCTTATATTTTTTTCTGGGCTTATTTTCCGAAGCAATCTCTAACAATTCTGATTTCTTTAACGTTGGATCAAATTCAATGTCGTGATTTTGCAACCATTCGATTATCTATTTTTTCCGCATCGATCTCTTTGCAGGCTTAGTACTTTCCGTAAGCTCTGAATGCCATGTGGCATTGTCGATGACTATGGCGATTCGTCGGCTGGGACCTTCAACCAAAAGTAAAACTTAAGACATTCTTTTTTAAAAAGACTTTACCGTTGTCTTCTCGTAGACGAAAAGCTGCCTT